AGGAAAAATCTGAGCAGCCTCGTATTTTTCTCCATTTTCTGCTCTGGTTGAAAGAGGCTTTTTCCAGTGGCAGATGCACATCCCTGTGCATCACCAACCCCAAAGTGCAGCTCTCAGCCTCTTGCAGTCAAAAGGGAACTTGAGATTTGAATTTTAATTGAATCTATGAACTGAAGCACAGCTGGCAGCCAAAGCCCTTTGGAGTAGAGGGGTCTTTCCTCTGGTTCCACCAGTCCCAGAAAAATTAGAACGCTTAACTGATGCCCAACATCAATTAAAGACCTTGTATAAGAGTATATTAATCCACACATGGGTCTGTGCACCTCTGCTGCTCCTGTGAAATGTTATTAAGAGAAGATTATGTACCAAACTCTGCAATCTTGTCTTTCTCATCTGCCCAAATGCAGCAATTGCAGCAGTAACTGGCACTGCACCACACTGGAACACTCAGCTCCTGCTGAGTACTTCTGTCCCTGATCAGCCATCAAATAAAGTCAGTTTTCCTTGGTGAATCAAGCTAATGACAAAATGCAGGCTTCACATATAATCCAACAAGTCAGCAAGCAGCTGTTTCCAAAATGTGAAATACAGGCAGAAATATCTTATGGAGAAAGGAGAAGGGATTGTGTCACCCTCTGTTCACACGCTGCTCCTGAGCACTGCTTTTCCCAGTTCCAGGGGAAACCAGGACAGTACAGGTAATGACAAAATGCAGGCTTCACATATAATCCAACAAGTCAGCAAGCAGCTGTTTCCAAAATGTGAAATACAGGCAGAAATATCTTATGGAGAAAGGAGAAGGGATTGTGTCACCCTCTGTTCACACGCTGCTCCTGAGCACTGCTTCCAGTTCCAGGGGAAACCAGGACAGCACAGAGAGGCCTCAGCAGAGCTCATTCCACATTGTCCAGCATCTCCAGGCTCATGCTGAGGAATTCCTTAATCAGACATAAATCCAAGTTGCTTTCTAGTACATCTAATATTTGCACGGGGACATTGCAAGTAGGCAGCATGGTTTGTAAAGATGTTTAATCACGAAGGTCTGGGTTAAAGTTCAAGTTCAAGTGTCTGCACTAAGCTGGAGAAGATCTAAATAAGCAGCAATTAAAAGAGTCTGACTCATACAGGGCACTGCTGGACTTTGAAATGGCTGAATGCTTAAAGCTCTTTTGGGAAAGATTCTTCTTATTTCAGTCTAACAGAAACAGAAGGTACATTTGGAGGGGGGAAAAAAGGGCATTTTGGAGAAAGGCAACACTCTTCACCTGGTTTCAAGGGCTGCAGACAGTGGATGCCTTTAATCCAGCTGCTGTCAGAAGGGCCAGGTTGCTCCGAGCAGCAGCTCCCACCCTTAAAAGGCTGAGCTGAGGCTGGGAGCCAGGAGCAGAGCAGCTGTTCCAGCCTGCAGCCTCACAGCCCCGAGGAGACATCCCAGGAGCAGGAGTGCTCCTCTCCCCACGTGGAACGTGGGTGGGAAGGCAGCAGAGTCCAGATGGGAAAAGGGACTTTCCTGATGCAAGAGCCTGAGAACTGCTGGGTAAGAACAGACCCGTCTGGAACGGCAGCGGAGACACGGCACGAGAAACTGCCTTGCCTTGGGATCAGTCCCAGGAACCACAGACAGCTTCAGCACAGAGAGCACAGACCTTGTTTCTGTACCACTGGGTGCAGGTTGTTTATGTCTTGCTTCAACACGTTGGTAGGAGGAAGTGCTCCTGTGGCAAAAGAGACTCTGAGAGTTGCATTGTTCACGTGCAGCAATGTTTGGACAGCAAACCCACCAGTGGGTCCCATGTCTACATCAGTAAGGAGCTACAGGAAAAAGAGATGGACCCTGTGCCCACTGTGCTAGAGAGGAAGATAAATTCCAGAAAATGTGACTGGAGAGGTGCTGCTCTGAGGCACAGCCAGTGCTTCAGCTCCTGTGCCATGCCAGAGCTGAGGCTGTGCTTGTTGTGACAGGAAATGAGAGGCACCAGTCACTGGGGCGGGCTCTGTGCCCTGTTCAGCAGCCCCAGGAGTGCCCCTGCACAGCTCTGCTGCACGTCCCTAAAAACAGCACGGCTTGGCCTTTAACCTCAAACCTGAGCCATGCCTGTGAGCAACTGTACTCCTTGGATCTGATCCATAACAAACCTTGGATCTGCTTCTGAGCACTTATCTTGCTTTCTGTGGGCAGGAAAGAACATGATGGTTTCTACAGGGAGTCACCACGTTGTTTCCATCAGGGAGCACCTGGAGCTGCCCCTGGGGCAGCACCGTGAGCACCTGGCTGGATGCACCTGCCTTTCTCCCAGGAAAGGGGATGCACATTCCAGCACATGCTGGATCCTGAAACGGGTAAAGAGAGAGCCCTGGGCAGCTTTCAAATGCTCCCACAGCTCCTCCTCCCTCCCAGCCATGCTGGAATGATGGTGGCACAGCAAGGAGCAGCACAGCAGTGCTTCTGTGGGACAGCCAGCACAGAGATGAGCACTGCTCCTTTTTGGGATAAGCACATTCCTGCCTGATAAAGAGGTGCCTGTAACCTTTGGAAAGTGGAAGCTGAGGGTTGACTCTGCTCAGATTTTAAGCCAGAATTTAAGCTCTTGGTAGCAGGATGTCTTTTTTTATTGCTTGCAGTTTCTGGTGAGACAGAGCCCTCCTCCAGAAGCAGCCTCGAGCCTGTGTCACAGCACCAGTAAGAATTTCCTCCCTTTAAGTGACGCAGGCTGGCAAAATGTTCCATCACGGCTGCACAGCCCCGACCCCGCCGCGCTGGCCCCAAAAACTTCGAGCAGCAGGGAAATGAAAAAACATCTTCTTACCATCTCGGGGCTAATCCCTGTCCTCTTCCCCGAGCAGCAGGGAAGCAGAGGGCAAAGCCCTGCTGGACAAGAATCATCCAGCCCAGAAAGAAGAATTTCTAAACACTGTTGGGTCAATGACCACACCGAATGTCAGGATGGAGAGTAAATAGTGACCTCTGGAAAGTGCTGCATCAGCCTCGGGAGCCTGAATGGCACCAGTTCCTCGGGGAAGGGCAGGGATCTGGGAAACGGGCACTGCACGGACATTTCTGCAGGGTTCCGGTTACTTTATGCAAAAATCTTGGGATTTCACACTCCCACCAGAAGCCGGCCCGCGGGGCCCCTCTGCTGACGCGTCCCAGCACTGCAGAGTTAACTCACAGCACAGAGATCAGCACAGGCTCCCTGAAAACCACCTCGTTTCCAGGGATTGTGATGACACCGCTGTAAAAATGACCTAGGAAATTCAGACCCCTACTCACAGAGCAGAGAAGCCCTAAGGAAACCCTGCAAGGGACCGATCCCCGATCCACCAGTAACTCACTGATGGAAAGAACCCATTTCCCACCACTAATTTCCACATAGAGACCTTTGAGTTACAGTAACCAGCCCAGACTGCGGTATCCTAACAAAAAAATATTAAAAAGTATCTCAAAAGGGCTTCATTTTCTCTAGTGCTACAGAATAATTTGTTCTGTTACCAAGTAACCCCACCGAGGGGGCTCTCTGTTATTTAATATCCACCAGGCTGCACAGGACCTGCTTTGGGAACCATTTCTGCCCACTTCCAAAGCACAGCATTCCTGGAAGCCCTCCCCACATGAAACAGCCAATAACGAGGCAAAGCGTGTAATATTTTATTGAAACAAACGTGACCTTTATGCCAAGGGTTCCAGGTGAAACGAGCACACTCCAGCGGAGCAGGAGGCTGCACGTGGTGGCTCTGGTGGCCCCAGGGTGCCGTGAAGCTCAGATGGCTGCCATCCTTCAGTTATCACAGTACTGTACCTTTACAAGAGACAGCATCAGCACTGTGATAACTGAGCCAGGGCAGCCTGGCAGTCATTGGCCCCTCCGTGGCACTGCCGAGTCCTCGGTGTCCTCCTCCCTCAGCGTCCCAAAAACCCCGCGTCACCCCGCAGGTGAAAGCCTCAGGAGCCTTAACACAAGCGGTTTTGCAGCTGAGGTTCACTCCAGGAAATTATCCACATAATTAGTGTTAAATCTTAATGACCGCGGCGGCTTCCGAGTGGTTTTAAGCAGCAGCTCCTCGTGGGCAAATCCACCCACGCTGGATTTAATGGAGGAAGAGCAACCACCCCTGGTACAGGGGACAGCCCTTCCCTCCCCCTTAAATCCAGGCAGCCAGCAGCACTTGGCTCATGCTGCCCGGGTGTTGGGTGTCAGGGAGCAGTGGGGACAGTGGCAGCCAGCCAGGAAAGCTGCTGGAGCCACTCTGGGACAGCGGGATCGCCGCGGGCACGGCCCCGACGGCGGCACCAACCCCAAGGGTGGCACCGTGCCCTGAGCCCGCCACCGGGCTCCTGCTGCCTGGTTTTCCAGGAGCTGGGATTGCCCAGCCCGCCCCACAGCTTCTCTGGGCTCCTCTGGAGCCTGGCACGTGTGTCTCCAGAGGCAGCACGGTGCCCTGCGAGGGGAGCAGCTCCCAGCGGCAGCTGTGCCCACAGGGACTGCAGGGAGCAGCCTCCAGGTGCCCCAGTTGGCATTTTTAGGTCATCAAATCCACATAAAAACATTTGAAATACACAATCCCGCTAATTAGTTAAATTACAAGCTTCCATCAACCTATATTTACTCCCCCCATTGGTTTTTTTTTTCCTTCCTTAAAAACAGGCACTGCTGGAAAGACCACAGAACTATTTCTCCACCCACCACTTTTTTTGTGTATTTCTACAACTTTAGCCCCTCTTTGTTTTTTTCTTTCCTAAAACCAGGCATTCCTGAAAACATCACAAAATTATTTCCATCACCCCCACGCTGCCTGAGGGAATTGGATACATCAAGTTCTGAAATGAGTTTAAAAAAACACAAGGGTTTCATGGTGCCAAAGTTAATGTGTTACTAAGTTTCCAATAAAAGTCCATTTATGATGTTGATGGAGCAGCACAAGAAGCTTCCATGTTTCCACCAGCGGGAAGCAGAAACTCCAAAAATTGGGGGGGGTTTTTTAACACTCTATAAATAACTCACCTGGCAAAGAGAAGGTGCTGAGATGTCCCAGAGGCTGTTTTTAAGAGAGAAACACAAAACACTGGGCTGGATCCAGCCGTGAAAACGCTGCCTTACAAGTTTGCAACTCCAGAGGGCAACGGAGAGGCAAACGTGGAATATCGGAGGAGCAGCAGGCAGGGGAAAAAAAAACATTTGCACATTTTAAAACAAACTCCAAACATACATTACATAAAAAGGGGACAGTCAACAGATTATGCAATGCTGACGTCAGGCAGCAGCACAGATGACTTCAGCATGCATCCCCAAATTTGCAGATTTGCCACAGTTTGGGGATTAATCATTAAGGAATTGGCTGTTGCTAGGAAAGCACAACAAAAACTTGCTAAAAATATTAATGGATTCTGTCCGTGCAAGGGTGGGTTTTGAAAAGGAAAGCAGCTGCATGAGCAAGGGGCCCTTGGCTCTCACTCCCAGGTGTTTTCACACCAGCATTGGTATTCCAGGTGAGGAATTCTACTGATTTCAGCATGGCTTAAGTGTGGGATTGGGGATTCTACATCTCACAGGCTGAGGTGATGAGAGAAAATCACTGCTTGGCAATTCAAGCACGCTTTGATCACTCTATCAGGATTTTACTCCTGCTCCAGCAGTTCCTTACCAGGGTTTTAAAGGGGAGGGTGAACAATTCCTCCCCAGCACCCTCTGCAACAGCAGCTGCTGGAGTCACACCCGTATTCCAAGGCTGATGCCATTTTCTCTGGAGGATCCAGCTCTTCCCCCAATACAAACACGGTTTGTTGTCTTGCATCACACACACACACACAGAGATTTTTGCTTTGCTTCAGCCAGACTAAAGCTACACAGACCTGATGGAGAAAGCTCAAGCAGGTTCTCCATTTATCTGGAAAAAATCACCTTACTTTATAGCAAACCCCACATTAGTTTTGGAGGCCAGAACACATTTTTGTTCTTGTTATTGCTAAGGCCCTGCAAATTTCCATACACTTTTTAAAAAAACCTCTCCACTTTCCAATGTTTGCTGCCAGTTCTCACCTTTGAAACCCGTTTAAGTTGGCCTGGTTGCTTTTTAAACTCCAGTTCCACCTCCTCCTGCCCCTTTGGGGCTGGTGGTATTTTTGCTTCATAGGAACCAAAATTCCTTCAGCATCCCAGCGACCCGATTGAGGACATTCCCTGCCCACAGCCCCAGGGCTTGTCCCTCCCCACCCCGAGGATCTCGCAGCGCTGGAGCCGCTCTCACCCTGCCGGGGCTCTTCAGCTGTGCGAGGGGAGCAAACCTCATTTCCATCTTCCCGGGGCGCGGTGTCAACACGAATCCCGGCGAGTCTGAAGAGGGAAGAAAACAAACATCTGGTTACATGCGGGGATCCGGCGGCGTGCCGGGCGGTGACGGGCACGGAGGAGGCGCTGAGGGGCGGCGGAGCCCGGCGGGGCCCGGGCCGCCACCGCCGCTGCCTCCCAACTTGGCTGCCAGGGCGCTTCCCCGAGGTTACCTGGAACGGGGAGGGGGAAAGCCGGGCAGCAGCCTGCGGGACGGGATGGAACGGGACAGGACGGGGAGCCCCCTCCCGCGGAGCGCCCCCCGCGCCGCTCGCCCCTCAGGAGCGCCGGGACCCGCCCGGGGCAGGGGGGGGGCGGCGGCCCCGCCCGCGCACCCCCCGAAANGGCGCGCGCCCCCGAGGGCGGGCACGGCGGCACCCGCGGGAGCGCGCACCGGGCACGGCGTGGGCACGGGACAGCGCGGGCTGTGGCACACACGGAGTGACACACACACAGTGACACACACGGAGTGACACACACACACAGAGTGACACAGAGAGAGCGACACACGCACAGGGACACACACGCGGGGTGACACACACACAGTGACACACACATAGTGACACACACACAGTGACACAGACAGTGACACACGCGGAGTGACACACACACAGTGACACACACGGAGTGACACACACACACAGAGTGACACAGAGAGAGCGACACACGCACAGGGACACACACAGTGACACACACAGTGACACAGACAGTGACACACACACACAGAGTGACACAGAGAGAGCGACACATGCACAGGGACACACACACAGTGACACACACAGTGACACACACAGTGACACACAGTGACACACAGTGACACACACAGTGACACACAGTGACACACACAGTGACACACAGTGACACACACAGAGACACACAGACAGACACAGAGTGACACAGACAGAGACC